AAGTTTCTGTTGCCCTAACTTTATTTCTTCACTTTTAATCTTGAAAAATGCGCAAAAAACGTGTCCAAGATTTCTAGTATTATTATTCTCATCAGTTTATACTTTTATACAGGGTGTCACACAAAAAACGCCCCAAACTGTAACTCTGTCATTTACATTCCGATTTTCATGAGCATTTGATGAGGGGTTATCAAATGAAATGGTTTCATGAATACTATGATTCATGCTACAAATAAATTTTTTCCAAGGCTGTCTTCAATTTTAAGCGATTATTAACTTTTGCTTTTCAAATTGCTCTATATATTTTTCTTTACGTCATTGGATAGAGATTGTTTTTCTGAATCCACTGATGTACAACACATCCATTTTGAATATAATTTTAGTAGAGAAAAGACACCTGTATATACAGGTTGCCACACAAGAACGCCGCTAGCTGTATCTCTGTCATTTACCTTCCAATTTTCATAACCTAGCTATCAAATGAAATGGTTTGATGAATACTATGATTCATGCTACAAATAAACTTTTTCCAACGCCATCTTCAATTTCTAGCGATTATCAACATTTGATTTTTAAATTACTCGGTATGTTTTTCTTCACGCTATTGGATAGAGTTTTTTTTTCTGAATCCATTAATGTACAATACATCAACATTAATTGTAATTGTAGCATAGAAAAACAATAAAATAGTTTCTGAACATTCTCTTAAAGTCACTTGTGTTATACTGTAGTGTGCCATGGGATAAATGAAAAACCAACTTATAAGTATCATTTACAACTGCTTGGGCATTGAAAGCAGCATTTAGCATTTAATGAGTGTTATCAGTTTTGCGTGTTATTTTTTTCCATGGCACACTGCAGTATTACAGAAGTGACTAAGATAATGTTCGGAAAATGTTTTAATTGTTTTTCTCTGCTAAAATTACAATTAATGTTAATGTATTGCACATCAATGGGCTCAGAAAACAATTTCTATCCCATAACGTGAAGAAAAACATACCGAGCAATTTGAAAATCAAAAGTTGATAATCGCTTGAAATCGAAGATGGCGTTGGAAAAAGTTTATTTGTAGTATGAATCATAGCATTCATCAAACCATTTCATTTGATGCCTCGTTCATAAAAATTGGAATATAAATGACAGAGTTACAGGTTGGGGCGTTTTTTGTGTGACACCCTGTGTATTGGGTTGTCAGGCATCTTTGGAATCAGAACAATGCATTCAACCGTCATATTTACTCTGCAACAATGAGCAAAAATAGATTTATAGACATTTTACGTTTCATAGGATTCAATAACATGCCTAAGAGAAACATAATAATTGATAAGCTTACACCTCTGCAAGAAGTTAGACATTTTTTCAAAAAATTACAGAGAAGCCTATGAATGTTCTGAGTACGGAACAATTGACGAGCAATTAGTTTCATTCAGGAGATGTTGTCCATTTAAAGTCCAAGCAAGCCAGAAAAATATGGAATAAAAGTTTGTTGTAGTACTCGAAAAAAATGTAACATTACTTGGGACTGTTCGTAAAAAAAGAAAGTATTTGCCAAAAATATTACTTTAATAAAAATCGAGTTCTTTATTCATCCTGTGTCTTATCCACAAAGGAGATAACTCTAGTTTCGTATGTAACCAAACCAAAGAAATGTGTGATACTTTTATCATCTATGCATTATACACATGAAATAAGTAACTGCGAAATAAATCATGAACCAAATATTGTCTTGGAATATAACGATACAAAGACTGGAGTTAACGTCTTCGATTACACTCATCGCATTGTTTACGAATTATTTGGACATTGCGATTTGGAACAAAAAAAGTCCTATTTGGACTGGAAATGTTTCTGCCAAAAAGAGAAGGAAGAGTTTCTTGATGAAAATGCCTTATCAGTATATAAGTATGTCACTTATACAACTGTTACGTTCCGAAATTTTTATGTTATGTGTCACCCGACCACAAGTCGGGTGACCACAAGTCACCCGACTTGTTTATCTGTTATAGGTTGTGAGTTGCATACATTCGGAAACTTATTATTTTTATTTGTATTTACTTTGTCTACATTTTGTTTATTAATAACATTTGTTATTTTTTTTTTTATCTTTTTCAGCAACAGATTCTGAGTATCCCTGTTGTTAATCCCTTTCAATTCCTATCATACTACAAATTCTTCCTTTGCTTTTGAGAGGGTGTCGTAAGTACATGATCTTGCGCAGACGTAATTTTTTTTTGATATTTCCGAATTTTTGGGTATAAAAGACGGTTCCAGTTTCTTCTCGGGCTCTCTCTGTTCTTGCTATATTACCAGAATATACGTGTTTTCGAGTGTTTAAGAAAGTTTGATTGGTTCGCCATTTTTGGTTTTGGGGTGAAAAATTTTTCTAATCCATTTTTGTGGGATTCATCACTCGAAATAAAATTTTGGAAAAGTGTCTTTCTTTTACCAAATTGTACGGAGATTCCGGATTTCAACGTATTTTTTTAAAGTTTCTTCTGTCTTGTGGTTAAACCTCGAACATCAGAGGTAAGCATTTTCGTAAGGTCTTTATTAAATATTTTTGGCTTTTTCTTCCACCTTTTTATATTTTTTTTTCTTTCATTTTTTTTTTAACAAACAATCTACTCACTACTTTTCAAAAAAAAAAAAAAAAACTAACTACTTAAACAGAAAAACTATGCTACTAACAAAAAAATTCTTAAATCTAATATTTCCACGTTTCATTTGTTTTATTTCTATATCCAGGTTTTATTGAGGGGAGCAACCTTTGGCATTTCTTTCGGAACATTTTTTTTAATAATTTGGAACCAGGGTCCTTGGATAATTTTCTGTACGTCCTAAGGATTATAACTATCTTTTTTTGGAGAGAAACAAAGAATAAACCTTACCTTTCCTGAATCACCAGAATTTGTTGCTGAAGATTTTTTTTTGTTTGGACCGGTGATCAAGACTTGGAGTAAAGGTCAGATAGAACAACATACTATTATTTTGGTTACTGAAGAATTTATCTATAACATATTTTTTTTTTTGTATTTGATTTTCCTTAAGAAAATCCTTGATTTTTTTTTTGAAAGAAGATTTCATCTGAACTTCAATTTTTTTTATATATATCATTTGAATTGATTATTGTGAATTCTTGTTTGGCGAGTGATTTTTTTTTTATTCTATTTTTGGCGTTAATTTTTTTTTATTTTTAATTCTTGATTTCACGTTGAGCTCAACCATACGGAGTCAGACGCGGGTTAACTTTTAATTTCCATCTTTCTTGATATATATATTTTTTTTATTTTATTTGAGTAATTCCTTTTAGTTTTGAAAAGCTCGCAAACATCAATATAATTTTCGTTTTCTTTGTTGATTTAACCTAGAAGTTTACGGTTTTATAATTTTGTTATTAGTTTTTTTTTTACTTACCTGTTATTTACGGGAGTCTAAATAAATTTTTGTGTGTAACTCAAAATCTATTTTGTTGAGCGTTTATGTTTTGTTGTGTTATATGTTTATATCACCATATTCCATCATACCACGTCACAGTTCGTGTTGTACGCGGGATTAACTGTGTGGCGCCATATAAATACCCCTCCCTTCTTCACTGAGCCGGTCGAGGACTCGCGTACATCTCAGGGTGGTAAAACTAGTTTTGTCCTTGTCGAAAAATTTGTTATCGTTCTTTATTTTGTTAAATTTAAAAAAAAAATCGGTTTAATAAGGTTTGGCGTCACACAACCCGAAATAAATCAAAGAGCAAATATGTCAAATATTGAAAATGATGGAAAAGGAATAGAAAATAGTATAAATATTGCAATTGAAAGAACTGGAAGAAAAATAACTTACCGATGTCCCGAATGTGACTTAGAGCAAATGTGATTTTGCTTACCTGATTAAATGTAGACAGAGAATATATTACATTGCATGATTAAGCCGATACCCCTTGCGGACTTGTTTTAAATGCTATCCAGAATAAGGTTGATATGATATTAATCAATAATTGTGTCAATAATGGTGTTACTCTATACAACATTCTCTCAACTCATCATTATGCCAAACTGTATTCTGTGTTCCTTATCATCTATTAAGCTGCCATATCTTGCATCGTATCCATCCCCAACATCAAATTCCTATCATTTAAGGTCTGACTTAATCTTTCAATCAATCTTACATATGTTTCAATTTCTTAACAATCACATAACTATGGATGAAACTGCTAATACATAAAGCGATACAGTTGTAATGGTTAATACATAAAAAGAGAAAATGAGCTAATTGGAAAAACCTAAATCAATAGTAAATTGAACTTGGGCGTATTCAAAGTTAGAAAAAGATAATATAATAAAAAAAAATAATAGTTATTCATATGGAATAAAGAAAATGTTAAAAGTTTTGTTTGAAAATAAAAACGAGTTTGGTTACTACAAATATGTATAGAGAAAATTCACTGGATAAATAAAATTAAAAGTAAATGTTTGAGTATTTCAACATTAAATAAATACTACTGGTAACGTTTTGTTAAACACGGTGGTTAGTATCGTTTGTCCGATTTCGTCTGAACAGTCACAGTATTTGCACGGTCAAATATTGGAAAACAAGATCTATTTCGCATCAGTCCGTATAATTATGTCCGCATTGATTGGTGGGTCAATAAATTCGGACGTGAACCTCGCCGGACGCGACACACGATTAGGCCAACGGATCGCGTCACGGGCATCAAATATTCGTTCGTGATAATTTAACTTGCTGAAATAAACCTGTGGGGAGCTGCGACTGCCGCCCTATTATCCGATATTTAGTAGTAATTTACCGTAATAATTTAATGCCCGTCTGTGAATTGGGAATTTGCAACCGATGCGTATGTTGATTGGAACTAGCGCCCTCTCTCTACGCGATGACAGTTCTCTAATCGTAATCTCTAAATAACTAATAAATTCAATTTACAAATCTAAAATTTGATATCGTTAAAAAAATATCATGTTGTCACAGATTTCGTTTTTGTTCGACGCGACAGCAAAGCTGACGTTGACGTCAGCTGCGCAAAATGATCCGTCAGCTCAAAAAAATTAGTAGTATTTGTTATTATTGTGGACATTATGGATAAATCCAGAGTTTGTGTAAATCAAGCCAAGCAATTGGCAAAGCAGCGCGCTTGTGTGAAAAAGACCAACATTCTCGTTTACGATAAAAGTAAACCAAATTGCAATATCGATGTCAAACCTGGTGGATACATAATTCCACGTAACTAAATTTCAATAAATTTTTGAGAATTCGGGGTACCATTTTACTTTTTAGCTATAGCAAATGTGCCGGCAAAGAAAATTCGGGTGTGCACTGGAGCTGATTTAAGAAAAATGTGTGCACCCAAACTTTGCGAATGCCCAAAAGTCCATAAAGTAGGGTTAATGACTAGATTATTCCGTTTGATTGGTTTTGGTATAAAACTTGTTATCGCCGGAGGATTGATTTATTGGACATACGACATGGGTCTGTGGGGCGATTCCTACCAATCCGAAGAGATTTACTTGGGATTATGCGAAACTATAACCCCCCTTATATGTTCTTGTCCACCCAAACCTAGAAATATTTCCGACGTTTGCGAAAAAGAAATCGAATTGATGTGCAAAGTAAAAAATTAATCCATTATAAATAAACGTTCTATACAATTTTTTTTTAGCCTCCGCCTAGAGAAACGGATGGTGTTTGTAGAAAAGCCCCGAATACGGAAGTAGCTGCCCATAACGTCAAATCCACGTGGAATAAATTAGTTGTGTGTACATTCGATATTATAACAGATTTTCCTTCGTACGTAAAAGCCGCTTATCACAAAATTAAGTCGCTCGGAGACGAATGTGAAGATACAAAACCAAAATAAAAAATTATGTCGATGATGTCGTTTGTACAAGTGGTGAGGGTATTAATAAAATTAATAGTGCTGGTAACGTTTACTTTTTAATATATTTTCGATGATAATATTTTTCAACTTGTGACTGCTAGATCGAAGCAAAATATTGACAAAGATCTTTGTATTCGCACGTTTCGCGGAGTAAAATGTGTGCTTAGACGTCTGTCAACTGGGGTCGACAAGCTCGTAGTCGTCGTTACGGTGTCACTTCTGTGTGTTTTGGCATACCTTTTTGCTTCAGTTCACCTTTGCGGAAGAGTTCTTCTTTGCATCGAGTATTAGCGTGTCATTTCCCGGTGGGCATCCTTTCCTTCGACGTGAAAATAACGAAAACAACGGGACAAGTCGATATTTCTTTTGGGATATTTTTTTTTAACTCTACATAAACGGCGAAGTGATAAAGATAGAAGCGTTTTCGTTTCGCGGGTCGAATGCGTCAACCCCCCCAGCTTTTCTTTTTTTTGTCATTTTTACGGTTTGCTAGTTTATGGCTCGAGATGATAGCGTTAGTGACAGCTTTATGAACAGGGGACGCACTGTCCCTTATCTCTTATCGCTTTGTTAGAGGACATACAATAACCGAGTGAGCTAATCGTATATAGCTATACGTGTTACACACGAGAAAATACCATTTTATTAATTTATAAAAATTTTGTGCGCACGAAAAATGTAAATTGCGAAACACGAAATAACTTTTGTGATTTAGCGTCGAATTTATAAGCTATTACAAGGACCATTATTGCAGTAAATAACCATTAGACCTCATATAACCACTCCTACAAATGTACTCGTATATCAAAACTTGTAATAAATGCGTTTTATAACCAAGAATATTTCAAATTAATTGTAATAAAGCTATGATCGTTGAATATAATATAGTTAGTTAGTTTTGGATTTAGTGAACGACTTTCATTCAATAGTGTGGACTGCAAGAACCAGCATTAAACATAAGGGTAATCTTTGGGTAGGACAAGGGTTTAGGAATAATCAGAGCCGAGTGCAGGGATTACGAGTTTGCGGCATTCTAAAGTCGCCATTCAAACAAATAAACTGAAAGCCGTTTATCACGTTGGTGCCTCGTTGGTGCACGCATTTCGGCTGCTATGTTCTACACCCGACAATGTATAACTTTTTCGTTTATACGACCGTTACGCGAAAGCTCATCTCCCCGAAGCTTCCTTTCATTACAAAGTGGACAAAGTGCGCCACTCGCGTTATCGGGATTTACAAGATCCGATTTTAATCAAAGAAGGTTATTAAGAACGAAAGGAAAGAAAAAGTAAACGAAATTTTTATTGGGGAAGTAGTAAAATCGGAACTCTTAAGCTGGTAAACGAGAACAGTGCGGAGTTCTCGAGAATCATTACGAGGGCATTCTCCGGCAAGAAAAAGCTTCAACAAACTAAAAAAAGTGCGAAATCCAATTTCGCCCGTAAGTTACACAAAAGGCAACTTTCGACGACGTGACAGCTCATTCCGCTTAAAAATATCCCAATCGGAGTCCGGCCCTGGCATAATGTCGTCGGGAAAAGGTCTGTAGGGTCGCTTTCAGGCATCCTCCGACTCTGCCTCGACCCCAGCAAACTTTGAAAACTAGTTGATTTTAACTGTGTGTACTCTCGCAGATTATTCTGTATACTTTTATCTCCGAAACGGCCCGGAAACGACTTTCCGCTAACAATGCTCACTTGTCGGTGTGAGGAATGTCTCATTCTTTACCTTTTTTATTCGTTTCCAGTCAAATACCACTTGAACTCCTTTAAATCAACAAAATTAATTTAAAAATCATTAACCGTTTTTTCTTTATTCATCTCAAACGGTCTTTATCGCTCTATTGATCGAGCTATACGATTGAGAACGATTTCGTTCAATAAATATTTGCTTAACCGGCAAAATTACAGCGGATGTGCAACCAACAGTCACATTATTAAAGCCCTGAATGTCAAATGAATTGTTTATGTGACTATTCATACAACAATGACATGTACATACCGAACCATTAGCTGCATAATACAACACTAAGGACTGGGGGCGCATCAGAGAGAATAGTGTAATAATTATCTAACTATACAGAGTATTCCTAGAAGGTATTGCAACATTATTAGTAATTAAGGGAATTGATTTTTGTCTTAGGTTCTGATAGAATACCTACTTAATTAATTAATATTTTATTTTTAACGGTGTATTTACGTTTTTTTTCCATCTACCATCTGGAACCAAGATGATTCTTGACAAAATAAATTTTGTCCACATGTTGTATAACATTGTGAACGTATAGTAACACAATGTGAAGGGCTTCCAGTATACAATTAATGTACGCGTTGGTTGAGATAGGAAGATAAAAAAGATTTATTGAACCTAAGTATTTCGGACTAAAGTAATTTTGATGCCCCATTTCAGCTCTTGCAGTTAACAATATCAGTTGTGTGTCTCATATCTATCATTATGTGGTGTACTTGATTTTGTGTTTGACCGTTAGGTGGTATCCAGGTGATATATCTATGTGGAAACCTAATTGCCAACTATAGACCCATCTTTATCCTGTCAATAGCCTCAAAAGTCTTATATGATTTGCTTATGTTTAATGTTAAATCATCCTTAATCCCTTAACAACATGGTTTTTTTCGGGGTAGGTCAGTGGAATCTAATTTAATTACTTTTTCTAATTTTTTATTAAATAATCCTGCTTTTGGCAGGATAGCCCATGGAATTCTTTTAAAAAAAACTTTCTAATTATGTTATTCCCAATGGCTTAATTCACTGGATTTCTTCGTATATATACGGTAGATCACAAGCCGTTGGCATTAATAATTATTGCTCAACATTCAGAGATATTACTTCCGGTGTAGCCTAGGGCAGCCATCTGGGACCGTTGTTATTTCTGCTTTACATGAACGACATTCATACCTGCTTTCACCACTCAAAATTTCTTCTGTATGCCGATGATAGCAAGATATTTGCACCTATTTGCTCGCTTGAAGACTGTGCAAAGTTGCAAAGCGACTTGGACAGACTACAAACATATTGTACACTTAATAATCTTTATATTAATTATGACAAATGCAGCAAGATTTGATTACTTGCTTGGTTCTAACACCCTCAAACAATCCGAATGCGTTAGACATCTTGGCGTTCTTTTCCACTCCAAACATTGATTCTGTTGTTAACAAGGCCTCTAGGATGCTCGGCTTTTTATGTCGTACATGCCTGCCCTTTACTGATCTATCCTGTATTCGTTAACTTTATTTCGCCTATGTGTCTTCAGTACTTAACTATGCATCTACAGTTTGGAACCCGCAGTGTCGCTTGGAGCAAGTACAAAACCGTTTTCTTAGCACACAAATTTTTCTTGCCTTACTGCGACTACGCCCAGCGATGCATAGTTTTCAGCATCCCGCAGCTTTCCTCCAGGCGCAATATAAATGATTTAATTTTTCTCTACAAACTTATTAACGGTATTGTTGACTGCTCTACGATACTCTCTGAGATACAGTTTAAAGTTCCAGCGCGCCCATCCCGTGAAAAGTCACTATTCTTTGTGTCGCGCACTAACTGTCTACTTTCAACCATTATTGCTCAGATTCTGACATATTTGCTCTACCCCCTTGTCGTCGTTTAGAAGGAATGTTCATGGTGTCCTGGCATTGAGCATTGCGTAAAAAATAAGCTTTGCAGTATTTTAGTTATAGCCATGATTTGTAGTACATACTATATAATACCTAGAGTATGCGATGATGTCTGTTGTTGTCAATCTGTTACAACTACAATTATGGTATGCACTATGGAACCTACAACTTTGTTTTCTAGTCTGTATTTTTCTATTATTGTTTGTGGTCTATAATCATAGTTTCTAGTCTTATCTTTAGAGACCAGCTATGATTTGCGATATATTATCTGCACTTATAAACTGCAACCTTAGATCTCCGCTGTGTTTTGCATTCTGCAGACATGGTTCTCTTTAAAATAATTGCCCAATAATACATTCATAAACCACAAGCATAAACTACTACAATGAAGTTAAGCATCTAACATTAACTTTAGATGTAACTTCACGAGTTTGAAGACAAACTACATAATAGATAAGGTTAAAATGTACGGCAACACTAATAATACCTTATCGTCGTTTAGAAGAAAAGTTCATGGTGTGTCCTGGCATTGAACATTGCGTATAACATAAGCTGACTGTTTTTTCTTTTGTTTTTACTTTTGTTAATATATTATCTGTTAATTTTTTGTTTACATATTATTGTTAATTTCAACCATTGTCGTTTTCTTGTTATTCAGAATTATCTATTTGTGTTAAGAATTCTTGTTAACTGCATATTTTTTATTGCACTTATTAGCGGATGCTTCACTGGGCTTGACCCGTTTGCATCCCAAACACATTTAAATAAATAAATAAATAAATATCCTTCTTCTGGAAGCAGGTGCTTGATATGGTTATATTCAGTGATGCTGATCAATTTATGAGGGTTTGCTTTCTTTCTCATGGTTGTATCCTTGCATTCAGATTTCTTGTAATGCAATGATGTCGAGCTTATACTTGGTAAGAAGTTTGCGAAGGACAGCCAGTCTATAAAGTGTCCTACATGCAGTATGCTGTCTGTAAACAATCCGCAATTTAATCTGTGGCTATGGTGTGTAGTATACCTCTTCAGTTTCCGCTTAATTACGGTATGCAGAGTGAGGTAAGAGCCATAACTTGTAGTAATTCGCAATTATGGTTCAAAATGTGCTACCTGTAGCAATACTTTGCAGTATTTTAGTTATAGCCATGATTTGTAGTACATACTATACAATACCTATAGCATGCATTGATGTCTGTTGTTGTCAATAAGATACAACTACAATTATGGTATGCACTATGGAACTTACAACTTTGACTTCTAGTCTGTACTTTTCCATTATTTTTTGTGATCTATAATCATAGTTTCTAATATCTATCTTTAGAGACCAGCTATGATTTGCGATATATTATCTGCACTTAAAAACTACAACCTTAGATCTCCGCTGTGTTTTGCATTTTGCAGACATAGT